ACCAGTTAATAAATGATTAAAATACGAGACTTTATCATTAATGTCCTGCATATGGAAGATTTCTTCAAAGGGGGTAACATACAAAAAATTTTGTAACATATTTCTGTCAACACCTTTTAGATTTCTACTATAAATTTGACCCTCCGGGTTTTTGAACTGCATCAGCTACTTAAGGATTAAGAATGTCCTTTCATACAAGTATTGGTAGAAGTGTTCCACGAATTTCACAACTGCCAGGAGTTCTCTTCTCGTGACGCAGTATCCCATCTCATGTATATTGAATTCAGCTGTGTCCGAGTTTGGAGATCTGTAAAATGTGATCACTTTTACTGAGTTTTCATTACCTAAATTTATATAAATAATAAAGCATTTGTATTATATATAAAAAATGAGGTTAGTTTCTTAAGTAGCCTTCGATAAGCGAATTCTGTGCAGTGTGCTTAAAGTTAAATTGTATTCAAAATAGTGACAAAAGTAGAACATTAAATTTATTTCAGTCGAATAATACAGGTATTCTAGGAGGTAGAAATTAATATTTGCAAAAAACTAGAGAAAAGATCAACATGGCTAACTAATGCAAATCAAAATTATGTTATGTCTGTAAAAATTATAACATCGGCCTTCTTTAGTTAAAATAATAAATGGAACGGTAATCTAAATGTAAAGTTAATGACTACCTAGCGAAAAGTTTGCTAAATATAGTTAGATGTTTGAAATATTCTTTAATTTTAATTATTAAATATCTAGAATATTTGATAGAAAGCAATACATAATAAAATACTCACTGATCTTTTCTCTTAAGATGTAACCCAGAACTAAAGGACTTTGTTAAGAAAAGAACGGAACATTTTTTAAGAATAGGTTCTGAGCTAGCCTATTCAGTGATTTGTTCTTTCTAAAGAACTGAACAGGTTCATCTGCACCCGAATTGACCGACACGGCGCCAGCGCGGAGGCGATGAAAGTTTTTTCAGTATTCGTTCACTGGCACTGATTGTTAAATTGAAGCTACAAGCCAACTCTAAAAAAAATTAAATTATTGAAAAATTTAATTGAAAAACAAAGCTAAAAAATATTATATTTTTTTAAATTTTACCATGTAGACAAGTCTTTTTAAAAAACCGACTTAAAATCGTGCAGATGCCATCACCACATCTTAACCAAATTTATAGGAGACCACTCCTGAGGCACCCCTTTACTAACAAAAAAATAATCATAAAAATCTGACAAGGTGGTAAAGAATTACTGCTAAATATACATAAAAAAATGAAGAATTTGAAGATTTTTCGATGGACCGAATTATTAGATTTTGACCAAATGGATATAGAACCACCCCTGAAGTACCCCTTTACTAACAAAATAAGAATCATAGAAATCGGACAAAGTGGTAAAAAATTACCGCTAAATATACAAAAAAAATGAAGAGTTTGAGGATTTTCTAATGTACCCAATTATTAGATTTTGACCAAATTGATATGGGACCACTCTTGAAGTATCTTCTTTCTAACACAAAAAGGATAATTGAAATCGGACACCGTGTTAAAGAATTATCGCTAAATATACATATAAAAAAAATATGTATATATTACGTCGAATTGAGGACCTCTTTCTTTTTTGAAATTAAAACTTAATTAGACTAATTAAACTCGTGTTATATAATTGCGCACCGCCCTGTATATTTGAAGATTTTAAACAACATGTATCTAAGTTTCTATTAAATTACATATACGATTATAAGAAATGGGATTTTTTAACTTTAACACACTGTACCTTAAAAAATAGCCATAGGAATTAAGTGAGCCCATGGACTTATTTGGTTCAGAGGTTAAGTACTGCAATATATTTAAAATTTATGTTATTCGACGGATAGCCATTTTGCATAAGAAAAGCGAGGGCGTCTGATACCCTCTTAGCACTGGCCTAGCCGTCTGACGACTTACCTTATACGTGACCTTCAAAAAGGTGATTTGCTCGTATAAATTTCTAACCGGAACATTTTTTTTATTCGTATCCTTAAAGGTTTTTTGTTTAAATTCTAGAATTTAAATAAAAAAAAAATAACATATTCATTGGTTTTGGAATAAATTGACTTTGTTTAAAGGCTTCTAACTCTGTTTTCTTTAGAATCTTTGAGTTTAAATGTTTCGCAGTGAATCTTTAATTTAAAATATTATGTAGTTTTATAAATTATATGGGATGATCACTAAATATATCGGCACAATGAAAAATAACGGCACAACAAAACTGAATTATGTGTAAATTTCCTATAGTAATCATAATTATTGTTAATAACATTGTTGTTAAAACATCTTTATTCCGGATCTTCAACAAGACCAGAATTCCACGTGACCTAGAGTACCAGATTCTTCGAGACTGGCAACACTGGTTTGGCAAAGTTCGTATGCCCTGCCCTATTTTGTGACGTCACGTCTTGTTTGTGTACAATGCACAAAATAACGTGGTTTTAAGCAGGCTCATTGTTTTATAGATCTATTGATGTGTTGTCCTCTCTTTTTGGCTACAGGCATTCGCGAAAACCTCTCGCTCATCTTGAGCTCACTCATCATAGCTTAACACAAATAAAGTATACTTAGGTGTACTGTGCCGCAGAGACGCGATCGGACAGAGCGCAGTGGGGTACCAAAAAATAGGGATTAACACGTATGACAATAAAAATATTAAAACTGAGTATATTTTTATGGGATTTAGGTTATTTAATTTTAAAATAATGTGAAGAGGTTGAGTGAACACACTAGGTAATAAGAAATGAAGCGAGAAGGTATTTAGATATATAATTAAGAGAAAAGTTAAGAAAGTTATTGAAAAAGTTAGCAAAGGAAGATAAGAGAATTGAAAAAAGTGACTACAGGTCTCATTGGGATCTCTAATTTATGTATTTTAGGCAGGCTATACAAACGAATCAAATAAGGATTTTTTTAAATGAAATTTTACATATACAGGGTTGCTGATAAGTATGAATAATAACTTTCTATTCATTCAAACTGGCCTATACACCTATATAACTTTAATATTTGCGATGGCAGTCTATGGTAATTATATCGGCCATTATTAATGAAGCGCGCTCTGACAATACTCGCGTGTATAAAGTTTCGTACACTAGAGAAAGGCCAATATTGTAAGTTGATCTAATACCTATAACCATCATAACATGGTTCATTATTTTCTAATTTAGTGTATTTTACTTTATATCATGTTGTAGGCAAAGCGGTTTAGTCAATAATTAATTCACGTTTAATGTTAAGACACACATAATGAAATGTGGTGAATAGATTTTAATGAAACTTTAATCCTCATTAAGGCCGGCCATGTTAATTCCCCGTATATGCAGAGGTTACTTTCGAGGAAGCTATCGGGAAAAGTATTAATTTTAATAATAAAAATCAGTTCATAAATAAATCTAAAGAAACACGAGTTTTTAAAAATACTTGAAAAATGACTGTTATCCTTGGTATGCAAACCACATAGAAACTCTTGACTTGTCGACATATTTACTTTAAAACTAAACATATTTAGACGTTTTCTTTTCGTTACCACCCGTACAACTAACATATTAAATAAATGAAACAAATCGCACTTCAAAATAATGTTCGGTTTTCTTGAAAGCTTGGTTTGAAATAAAAGCTAATTATTAATTGACCTAATCGGCTAGGGACAATGCAGATCAAAAGTGGCATTTGCTCTACCAAAGTTTCTTGGAACCTTGAGGAATCTTTAGGAATCTTTAGGAATCTTTAGAAATCTTTAGTAATCTTTAGGAATATTTAGGAATCTTTAGGAATCTTTAGAAATCTTTATAAATCTTTAGGAATCTTTAGGAATCTTTCGAATCTTTATGAATCTTTAGGAATCTTTAGGAATCTTTAGGAATCTTTAGGAATCTTTAGGAATCTTTAGGAATCTTTAGGAATCTTTAGGAATCTTTAGGAATCTTTAGGAATCTTTAGGAATCTTTAGGAATCTTTAGGAATCTTTAGGAATCTTTAGGAATCTTTAGGAATCTTTAGGAATCTTTAGGAATCTTTAGGAATCTTTAGGAATCTTTAGGAATCTTTAGGAATCTTTAGGAATCTTTAGGAATCTTTAGGAATCTTTAGGAATCTTTAGGAAATGATTATTAGTTCAAAGTGCGGTTCATTTACTTTAATAAAATAGTAGTTTGTGCAACAAGAGTGACAATCCACATGAGTTGTACAGTATATTTTTTTATGACCCGCTAACGAAGAATCTACAAATTCGAAAAATTAAAACAAAACTAATTTTAAAAAAATTTATTAGGTTTACTCATTTATAAAATAAAATAATTAATTAGTCTCCAGTCCAAATTCAATCCCGGGCTTTTCGCGGGGAAACTTTCATATAGTTCAAAATGTGTAACAAATAAAAATTGAAATGCTATTATTTATCGATTCTACACAAAAATAACTCATTTTAATGTATATTTAATTTCAATAACTAAAAATTATACTGACAATTAGTTTGAAAGAATCATTACTTATTTAAAATTTTAAAAATAATAGTAGTTGGGTGTCCAAAATATGAACTGTGATTGGTGAATTTTATTATTTGGAGTTTACTCACTACCTAGAATGAATATGAAATATATTCGTTCAGTTGAACGCAATAACATACTTTTTCGTTTTGTAGTCTGTGAGTAGATTAGCTAATATCCATGTAGGGGTAGATTCTGCCAGATCCTGCACTTACAATGCCGATATATTATTCTACCGACGAAATAATTCGTTCTAGAAAATGTGGCAATTAGGCAGGTGTTTTCGAAGGATAATTGAACATTCGAATTATTACGCAGAAGTGTATCTAATCGCCATCTATCGCCAACTCAGTTAATCAATAGTTTTTAATGAAAATACTAGAGTGCAAATTCCATCTCAACCCTGTAAACTGCATACAAATAGCGGCCTTAAAAAGTTTCCAACAATTCCCCTATCGATTTATCCTACTAATTTTCTTATTCCCCTACAGGTGACAGCAGCAGGCAAGGCCGTCCTGATCACGGGATGCGATTCCCGCGTCGGCAGCGCCCTCGCGCGGCAGCTGGACGAACAGGGTTTCACCGTTTTCGCAGGATTCCAAAGTACGACCGATAATCCTGCGGCGGAAGAATTGAAAGAGGTCTGTTCGGGGAGATTGCACGTTTTGCAGTTGGACGTGGCGTCGGAAAATCAGATATTGGCGGCGTCGCTGTACGCCGTCGAGCATCTACCAGATGGCGCGCCCGGTCTGTGGGCCGTCGTCCACGCACAGTCATGGGTGGCGTTGGGGGAGATCGAGTGGATTCCGCCCCAAGTAAGTTTCAGTGTTTCTATTTTTTATTAATAAATTAATTAAATAATTATATTTACAAATTAACAAATCAAAGGTACATGTACATAAAATTACTCCGCAAAATCAATTAAACAGCGCTATCAAAAATTTAACTATAGAAGAATCATGACGATATTTTGTTTAAAATTAAAATACAATATTCCCAATCCTACAACAAAAAAGATTTATTTTCAAAGACTAATTTATTAAAAACTTTCATTTTAAAATTTTCGAAAATAAACTAATAAATTTCTAAAAAAAAAAACGTGTTTTTAGATATCTCTAAAAAAATTTCAGTAATGGGTATGTCCTTCTATTGCTCATATTACGTTTAGATATCGACGTGGAATACTACTGATTAAATGCCAATTATTTGTATCTGCAAGTTATTGTAGATTATTTGGCATTTTTCTCAGTCTAATGCGTCTTCTTAACTCATATCTTAAATGTTCTATGATATTTAATTTCATGTTTCCATATGTTCGCTGGCTAATCCAGAACCAAAAAAGGTTCGAACTTCTCTTGCAACATAAGGACGCGCATTATCCTGTTGAAAAATGAAATCTTTATTGAAGTCGAGGTTCTGGAGAAATTCTTGTTAAATAAAAGTTTAATTCAAAAGGAAAGACTTGTATTTAGTGCAAAACTTTTTAAGTAATAAATGCAAAGAGCTTTCGGCATGGTGCCGTCATCAGTGCTTATCTACAAAAATTGTGGATGTAAACTTACACTTTATAAATATGTGTAAAAATAAAATCTGAGCAAGACTTTTAAGTCAAAAGTTAAAAATAAATATATAAGGTAATTTTGAACAAATGAACAATTAAAGGGTAACAAACAGAGTGGACATAACCCAGTGTTGGGAATAGGGAGTGTGGAATAAGCCCCTAAAAAAATCATATCTGATCTCCAGAAGCAAGTTAGCTTGTGTGGAACTAAGGAAGTATACCACCTTTACTATTCGCATTGAGTACAGTTGAAAAGAAGTTAACAAATTAGTTAAAAATAAAAAAAAAATTACAAATAGAGGGTGACTGTGGAAAATATATTGAAATTTAAATTTAGAATACAATAGTTAATATGAAAAAGGTTAAAGGCAAAAGGCCAAATAACCTGAAGGTTTTTTCCCCTATTTACATTATAATTGTAAAAAAGCTTACCTACTGTCCACAAACAAGCATATCCACCAAGTTCTTAGTCATACTCGCTCCGAAATTAAATATTTCTGGAGACTAACAACTTGCTAAATCATAATTATTACTATTAGTAATATTTTCAAATTTAAATTGATTTATTCATTTTTATTAATATTGTTTAACCGACTGTTTCCATGTGACAGTGGTGACAAACGACACTTAAAGACGTTGACCTGTCAAATGTCAAGATAGGAGGTGTGTTCAACTCAGTGTCGAACAAGTTTCTCCAAGTGTGATTCGAGTGATTGGAGGTGGTTAAAGGAAATCAAAATTTGTTAGTATTGAATTTAAAGAAGATTTATTTCTTTGTTAAATTTTAATTTAAATAAATGTTTAATATGAATTGATCTTGCTAATGATCCTTTTAATGTCAAGACAAAACAAAAATATCACTCGCGTGATTCTGATGTGCCAGCCCGGGCTCTGCAGAACTTTTTTCCGAGACACCCAAGATGTCACAACTAAACCGGCGGTCCCTAGAGGTGAATCTGATGTTTAGTCTTAAAAATTCCAAATCACTCAACAAGCGTACTCATGGTGGAGTGTGATAAAATAGAGAACAAAAAAATTTATAATAATAAAAGTACCATGGTTCCAAAGATAGGCTCTGATGGGAAATCGAGATTAGAAGGGGATGGCTCTCAAAGGCTTATGTTGAGCGACTCGGACTTACATCATCATAGAGGGTTAACTAAGTTGTCTATGGAGTGGTATGAAATTTCTATTTCACTTGAGTGTTGACACAGAGGATATTGTTGTTTCTTTCAAGGGTAATTTCAACATCTTCATGGAAATCTAATAAGTTGAAATTTTTTGTGTTCAAGTTGACTAATAATTTGGAGTTTTTTGTTGGACTAAAATTATGTTGATTGAACCTCAAGTGATGTCCATATACAGATGTGTCCGGATTCTTGATGTGCTCGCCTATCCGGGCTCCCACAGATCTGCAAGTTCTGCCAATATAACTGTCTAACCAATTCGTTTTGTCTTTGGTGTTGACTAGATGAGAGTTTTAAATTTTTAAATAATTTGTTAACTTGTTTTCAACTGTACTCAATGCGAATAGTGAAGGTGGTATAAGTCCTTAGTTCCACTCAAGCTAACTTGCTTCTGGAGATCAGATATGATTTTTTAGAGGCTTATTCCACACTCACTATTCCCAACACTGGGTTATGTCACTCTGTTTGTTATCCTTTAATTGTTAATTTGTTCAAAATTACCTTATATATTTTTAACTTTTGACTTAAAAATCTTACTCAGATTTTATTTTTACACATATTTATAAATTGTAAGTTTACATCCACAATTTTTGTAGATAAGCACTGATGATGGCACAATGCCGAAAGAGCTTTGCATTTATTCATTAAAAAGTTTTGCACGAAATACAAGTCATTCCTTTTGAATCTTAACTACGTGCACACAGCTGTCAACCTTTTTTGGTTATATTAATTGAATTATATTAGCTCCAGGACCGAAAATACTTGAGATATATTCATCTAGTAGGAAATGAGTAAGAAGTACAGTTTTTTGAAATTCTTCAACACTACATAGCTGAGCTGCAAGAAAGAATGATGCCAAACCCACAAAAGAAACTGGAATAGAGGTGTTTGGGTTTAAAACAAGTACTCTGAAAGTTTATAGCATTTTCCAGGCGAAAATGTATATCACTGAAAAGTGTATCCAGACAAAAGATATCATGTCCGGTAGCCAAACAATCATCAAAGCGAGGAGCTCTTACGCAATCTACTCAAAAATGGTTTGATGGTACCTAGAAAAATGGAATGAGCTAGGCGAGGTGAAATAGAGTTACTATTGCTTGTTTCCCGGGACACAACGGAGTTGCAGACAGTCTCGAACGAAAAATGGCTCAAACATTATTTGTGGTACCTTACAGTTTTGCGGTATCAGCAATAACACAATATTAGAAGAAATTGGAAATTAAAATGAGAGAAACCAAACATGGTAAGGCTGAAACTATCAAGAAAATAATTGAGAAGTAGCAAAACCGGTAATTGGAATGATCTCTTGGAGTTAAGACATGCTAAGATGCTTTTGGGTGACTTTAACCAGAAAAGATCAAAAGTGTGTATGTATGAACAGATTACGCATAGTACTGAGGATCTTTACCAAGCATTGCCAACTGAAATGACAACCTCCATTCAAATTCTGACTGAATATGTAGAATTACAGAAGCCATGTGCACTATACTTGGTAGCATGCCAAATAGATCAAATAGGATTAAGGGTCGAGACTATTATCTCGCTGCCTTGGCGACAGAAGGAGGTACAATAGTTCTTTTACGTCGGAGTGTATAAACACCCCATACATAATATAGATGGTATTTTATTTTTATTATTAACTCTGTTGCCAGTTTTCAGAAATTGTCTAAAATTAACGTAAAAATACACTCAAATATGACGTCACACTGTATATTAATAATAATAATATTATTGTTACTAGTCTGTTCGCTATACTTCGCGGGTTTCGAATTAAAAAATTCCAGTACCCAAAAGTTTGACCTGTTCTTTGGGGAAATATCAACTGGTTAAATGAAATGAAAAATAATATACAACTTTTTAATCAAATAATAATGGAGAATCTTTTGTATAATTGAGAGCAGAATTAAACTTCTTCATTAATGGAGTCTAATCTGGCTATTATAAACCTAATAATAATTTTAAATTACACTTCACACAGAAAATATGGTCTATGTATAATAACAGAGTTATTTAGCTCAAATTTAAATCTGACCATTAGGGAAATTTTACCTAATTTCTTGGGAAAAGGTTTATTGGAACTGGTTGTCAATGACTAATTTGCAAAATTATGTTAATCCGAAACCCGCGTAAGTATAGCGAACAGACTGTACTGTTAAACACGAAAATAATTTCAAACTCAAATATGACAAAAAGACGTGAAATAAAGAAAACAAGAAATTATTCAAGCCATGAGTTATTAATATTTAAAAACTGTGGAGCTTATGTACATTCCGCTTTCGAGTAACTAGGAAGCAACAATAACGAATCACTTTGCATTAACGACGAAAAAACTGTATCTTTTTACCCAGTAACCTTCATTGGATCCCAAGGTATTCATAACTTCGGAACGTGACCCAGTTTACGCAGGTACAAGGTAATGCATATTGTGCAGAGATTCCGGTGGTAAATATTTAATGGCATTATGCCGTTTACTCTAATAAGGTATAAATTAAAAATTCCGAGGCATTCCTGCTAACTATACAGGGTGCTGAATATTTAATTAAACATCATAGTTACTGACAGCGGTCCAAATTAAAATAGTTAACTGTAACCGTTAGGTATTGAATACTGTTTAGCTCAAAGGTAATTTTTCATTTTCCACAACTAATTAGTATTATTATATCAGTATTATTATATCAGTATTATTATATTAGTATTATTATATCAGTATTATTATATTAGTATTATTATATCAGTATTATTATATCAGTATTTTTATAGCAATATTATTATTTCAGTATTTTTATATGACTAGTATTATATCACTATTACTATATATCAGTAATATTATATTATCAGTATTATTATATCAGTATTATTATATTAGTATTATTATATCAGTATTATTATATCAGTATTATTATATCAGTATTTTTATAGCAATATTATTATTTCAGTATTTTTATATGACTAATATTATATCACTATTACTATATATCAGTAATATTATATCATCAGTATCATTATATTAGTAATATTTTATCATCAGTGTTATTAATGTATATGTAAAACCCGTCGTTTTATAAAA